TTGGTTTTGGTGATCAGCGGAAAGAGTATGTATAGAATATGAATAAATAATTATATTATGAGAATGTAAATTAACAAATAGTATGAATAAAAAATAATGTAAATAAGAAATAATGTAAAAGCGAAAATAAATAGTGAATAAGAAAAAGAAAATTATTCAAAGATTTCAATAAAGAGGTTTAGTATGTAAATTAAAAATCATAATATATAAAAAAGTATTAAAAACCTTCAAAATTCACCTCAAATAAATTTTAGCTCTAAGTAATAAAATTTATAAAAAGTATCAATACATGTAGTTAAAAACAATTTATCATATAAAATATATATTATTAATACATAATTCAATCACTAATTAATAATAAAAGCTAAATTATATATCTTTGTTCTTGCTATATTGATATTTTTTCAAATATTTAATCTACAAAAAAAAAAAATTGTCAAAATGACAACAGTTTAATACTAAATTTTTAAATTCAGGTATTATAGACTTTTAATTATATTATAGAATTTGATCTAGAGTCTAGTAGAAGACAGTTCAAATAAAATTAAAAACAGAAACAAAAAAGTTTACAATACCTTATTGTAAATATATATGTATTGAGTATGAGCTTAATAGTAAAAAATTCATTATTACAGTTTTAACTAATAATCAAAATCTATTAAAACTCATATTTCAATATACTTATAGTGATGTTCAAAGCAAACTTGAATTACATCTATCAATAGTAGTTAAAACATGTTATCAAAATATTTTTGGAACAAAAACTGAATATTCTGGTTTGGCAGCTATAAGTTTTGAAAATGAGGATATTATTCAAGAATTGATTATTGATATAACCTTTTTTCTAATATTTATTTACATAGAAAAACTTCATGTAGTTATACCAAGTATTAGTAATCTAAATGAAGGTAGATTTTATGGAATCAGTACTAGATTTGTTTCTATATTCACTACATGTTATCAAAATATACAGCATCTATTTGTTTTAAAAATTGAAGAAAATCTATATATTTTAAAAATTTATTTAGAGTCAGTATGTATTAATACAATAATAGGAATGACTCTAGATGAAATTTAAAATCTAGTAGAAGTTCTTAAAAAATTCACTGAATCATACTTCTTTGGAATCACGAATATATTGATTCAAGAATACCTACATACTTTAAAAGTGAATCTTCAAGATATAATATTAATAATTGAATTAATAAATAACAACTAGAAAAAGTATTTAATCAGTATATAAAGTTGAGAAAACTTCTCAAAATATCTGCTTACTGGTCACTTCTTTTTCATAATTAGCTTCAACAAAAAAGCTCTATTATTCAATTTCTACTCATATTACAAACAATTTACTTAACGAATTATATCCTTAGTAAGAATAAATTATAAAGATAGCAAGTAATATTTGTTGCTTATAGATATACCAATATAATACCAGTTTCTAGGAAAGAATTATCTATAGAATTTTGAAGCAAAGCTTCAGATCCTGCTGCTGATAAAGAATTATTAGAAACTCTATATAAAAATAATATCATCTAACTAAATAATAATAATTTAATCAATACATTTAAAGAATTCTTAAACTCTTCTCGTAAATCCTAATTTCTAAAATAAACAAAAAATTGAAAACACATTAGTCTCATAGCTTTTTCAAAAACAAGTATAACAACAGCTCAACAGGTATTAATACAAAAGCTAGAGCATCTTTGCATATACCTTCAGAAAAAGTTTTAAGAAGAACAAATGAAAACTACTAAAGCTTTAGGCTAATACTTCTTGAAAAAACTTCTAAACGACAAAAAGTGGGAATTTGCAAACTCCTGGTATTATAGATCTTCTAGGTTATACAATATACGCTACATAGATCTAGAAGTAAACAAACACGTGTCTGATAAAAATAGAGTATATACACCAACCTAAAACCGGACAACTTTTGGGGCTACAGAATTTTTATATTAATAAATCGGAAAATATATAGGCTATAAGAGCTAAAAATATAACATATACATGATCCTAATTGAGCTATAATAAAAAAGATTTAAAAAGATGCAAGGATATACATCTAACTTTGAACATAGTCAAGTAAGATTCAAAGCTAGTATCCAAGAAAGAAAAGATAGAATTAAGTCTCTTCTTAGAGAAGAATTTCTACAAAAATTAATTGGAAAAATCAACAGAATTGGAAGGAGCCAAGAAAAAATAGATAATTACATTTCAAGAATTACAGAAATTGAAACAAGAATTATCTCAATAGCAAGAGCTTGGCAAAAGATTCTAAAAGAAATTATAATTGAGAAAGGTAAAGCAATACTCAATATTGCACTGGAAGAACTAGAACAAGAGCTTCAAGCAACAACAGAAGTTAAAAAGAAAAGGTCAAAAATTGGAAAAAAAGAAGAACTTGAAAAAATAAAGATCTTCAAGACTGAATACGTAAAAAAACAAGAAGAACTGCTTCTTCTTCCAGAGATAAAGAACCCTGAAAAGGAGAGTAAAACTGAATTGATTATTATAAAAGAAGTCAAAGAAATTAAAGAGAAGTTAAAAAATGGGAAAAAAACAGCAGTTAAGATCCTCCTTGGGGAAAAAAATATCTCATCCCAACTAGATATATAAGAGGTAACTTCAGACAAAGAGATAATAGAAGAAGACCTATTACAAACTACTCAGAGACAAGAAACGAGTATAGAAATGCCTCTTGAAAATCCTCTTAAAACAACTAAAGATGAAATCCTAGAAGAATGTGAAGAGGTTTACTAGGAACATCACAATTGGAAATCAACTGCTCAAAAGAATATTGGAAAAACCAAATTAAACACACAGTAGCCATATATAAGAAAGAAAAAGGTAACTCTCTTGAAGACAGTGAATAGGCTCCAAATGAAAATACATGTGAAGGACAAGGAGAATATAAAGCAAAAATAGTAGCTTTCTCCCTTCCTGGAAACTCTAAAGAAGAAAAGATTAAATTCGTGAGAAGAACTATTCACAAAAACTGTCACATAAGCACAATAGAGGAAAGCTTTATAAAAGGCAATGCGTGAATAGTAATTACTTTCGATTGCATAAAAGGAAAACAAATCATGGAAGAAAAGTTAAAGAAGAAAGAAATAGAGTGGTACAAAGTAATATTCGAAGAGTCTAACTCAAATATTGCAGAGACCAAAAATATAGAATATAAGAACAAAAGAGAATCAGAATCCAAAGGTAAAAACAGGGATTTTACATGGATTACAATATGTGATCTTCCTCTAGACTATAGCAAACAAGAAGTGATTAGACTTGTTAAGCATTTCAGATATGCAGAAGAGATAACCTTAAAGAAATTAAAATTTTATCAGTCTGCAAAAATCAAAATATATACCCGAGAGGAGGAACAAACAAGAAAACTTAAAGCAAATTAGGCAATAGGACTCGAGAATGGAAAGTTAGCATGTATAACTATAGGAGCTGCTAACC